TCCCAACTGCAGGCTCAACAACAGAAGATAGATGAGATGCAGGCCATGCTTATCCAGCTAATGAAGGAGAAGGAAGAGGAAAAGAAAAAGAAAAGGAAGAATTCGAATCCAGAGCCTTTTGTATTTGCATATGACTCCTCCTCTGATGACTGGGCGACATTTTTTGTATTGTTTAGGATTATTATTGTTCTTATTATGTTTTGTGTATACACATTTTTATTTTTTTACTCGGACCCGGATATTTATTTGTGTTACTTGTTGTTTTTATTATTGTATTATTGTTGTTCACGCTATTGTTACGTGGTTGTTGTGTTTACAGGTAGGAAAATAAATAAATTTCAAATAATTTTTTTTTCAGGTTCGTCAATTTGCGATGGAAACATGAAAATTTCGTTGCAAATTTGACAGTCAATTTGCGACAGAATCGTTTCTAAATTACAATGCTTCATCAAAGAGTGTCACGAACTTTGTAAGCGCTTCATCATATAATTTTGTCGTAAATTTTGCAACGGGATCGTTTAGAATGCCATCGCAACATTTACGACGGCAATCATTAATGTGCATGGTTGCAAAATTTATGACCGATTTGTCCTATAAGTCTATTGCAAATTTGCGACGGGGAAATTTTATAATGTCATCGCAACTTTGGCAGTTCATTTGTGATCCCATCGCCGTTTGAGTCAAAATACAATGTTAATTCTCCACTGCGATGGAAGTGGACGACTTTATGATGGAATCAAACCATCTCAAGTTACGATGGACAAACTCTGCCGCAAAATCATTTACATAGAGGGATTCGTCGATGGTTGTTCGCCCATCGCAAATTTCGTGCAACAGAATTTGGTTCATTTGCGTCAGATTCTACTCGTCGCAAATGAACTATTTTTTAGAAGTGAAGGGCACATGAACCTAATCTATTTTGGGTTAAGATGTGATATTATACCCATTTATTGTGGTTGGTGTAACTTAACTTATTAATGACGGTCCCACGTCATGTGTAACATCCCGGGCGCTGACGAGGGCGGGGAGTGATCGCCGGTGCGCAAGGGCACGGACAAGGAGCGGCTCCTGGCAGGCTTCTAGGGACGGGGGTACATGAATGAATCGAATCAACACCCGAAAGAGAGGGATTCCAGAGACTGTGCTGGTATGAGACGGTACAGTTGGGAATGGCTTATAAGAATTAATTGGTACTACCTATACTAACAAGATGCATCTACTTTTCGGTAGCCTGTATCGGAAGAACTCCACAGTTAAGCGTGCTTGACTTGGAACAATTCAGGGATGGGTGACCTCCTCGGAAGTTTTCCCGGGAAGTGTGCGAGTGAGGACAAAACACGCTGAAAAGTCTCGTGTTAGTGTGTGGGGACAGTCGTTGATCCGTGCAAGTTGCCAGGCATTACAAGTGGTATCAGAGCAGGGTCTCTCATCCAGTACGGTGTGGTTTGAGGACGAACCAGGCGGAAGCTGGTAGGCATGTAACATCTCGGGCGCTGACGAGGGCGGGGAGTGATCGCCGGTGCGCAAGGGCACGGACAAGGAGCGGCTCCTGGCAGGCTTCTAGGGACGGGGGTACATGAATGAATCGAATCAACACCCGAATGAGAGGGATTCCAGAGACTGTGCTGGTATGGGACGGTACAGTTGGGAATGGCTTATAAGAATTAATTGGTACTACCTATACTAACAAGATGCATCTACTTTTCGGTAGCCCGGATCGGAAGAACTCCAGAGTTAAGCGTGCTTGACTTAGAGCAATTCTGGGATGGGTGACCTCCTGGGAAGTTTTCCCGGGAAGTGTGCAAGTGAGGACAAAGCACGCTGAAAAGTCTCGTGTTAGTATGTGGGGACAGTCGTTGATCCTTGCAAGTTGTCAGGCATTACATCATGGGCTCCTCTTGGCCCGTCTAACAGTGATATTAAAGCTAAGTTCAACTTGGGCTAACTAAACGTTAGAATTTGGTTGAGTACTTCGGCTTCATGTACTTAAATAGACTTTCGTTATGGGGAGCATACTGATGTGAGTTTCACACTTTGAGGAAGGATTGTTATGATATTCAAAGTTTAACTCTATATAAATTGAAGGATCCATGACCATAATGTATTAAGATTTCAAATTGAAATGTAGCATCGAACTCACTTATTATGATTAGCTTAGCTTAATCTACTAATAATAATTTTCCCCTAAGCTTTCTTGTCCCACCTAACAAATGTCGTAGCGCAAGCATAATAGAAAGTTGGACTTATTTTTTGTACTGTACGTATAAGAATCTTTTAAAGTGAACATGAAAGTAACTGAGTAACAGTACGATTGTTTTTAATTTAATTTAAAATATGTTATAATCTTAATTCACTAAAGTTGAAGAGGATCATAAAATACAACTGTATTTATTTAATACTCAGATCAAATACAAAGGAAAGTTTTCCTTTTTTACTGAAATTCCTTCAATTTCAGGAGCCAAAATAAATGTGGCTGTTCTCAAACATAGCACCGTTAAAATTGCCTGATGTGTATCCACTGTTGTTTATAATGGACGAGACATTAATTTGCTGGCGTCTAGTTCTATAATAAGAAATAGGATCAACATTTGCAGGAATAAGGGAACCAGAATTGGTATTAGGCCTCCACCCTGTTACTTTGACATTGTCAAACATGGACAGCAAGTAACGTTTGTGTTGTGTCACAGGCTTCTCTATCTGAAGACTTAAACCTTGAGAAATGTCACTTTGAATCTTTGCAACAAAAGAGACACCCACATCTGCATGAGAATAACGTCCAGCAGCAAAGTAGTGTTCCATAGTGATCATGTAAGGATGCTCTTCATCATCATCGATTCTCTTTTCCCTTATAATAACAATAAGACCCTTTCGCTCATTTAGATCATGACCATACAAGAAAGATGAAGATTGGATAACCCCACCATGTGCAATAGGGGCTTTGTATTCAGGAAGTTTCTCCATGCAGAGAGGTCCATTGAGAGTAAGGTCTGCTAGAAGATGATCTTCTTCGACACTCACGATCATTTGAAGATCAACGTCACATTGAGGTGTATAGTCATGGAGAGAGATGCATAACTCATCATCGCGCTTGTTGCGTTTGGTTTTGGTCAAACCAAGTTCACAGCTTGTGTTTCCTACTGAGTATTCTGCAGTCCAAGCGTCCACAACTTGACGCGCTTTGGAACTCTTGGTTTTGCGAACGATAATGTCAGAAGAATTGTCTAGACGAAATCGCTCAACGTGATTACTCACACCACTGTGAATGTTTCCCATGATGGAACATTCCTCTACTCTACTGCATACGCCACACTCAAAACTCAGAGTGGTTGAACGTTACTCTTTTAGAGTGAAGGTTACACAAAAGGCCATCTCTATAAGTGGCTTGTTTTTGCTAAGATGCACTTATACAACACGATTACGAAGAATCAGAATCGTTGGACCGAAGCGTGTTCCTCCCGCAATTGTTACTTTTCTTATTTATTCTAATTAAAGTGGCATCTTCAATATTTATTAAATTTGTGTTGGATCACTAACGAAGAATCAGAGTCCTGGGAGCGACGCGTTGATCTTCCGCTATAGTTACTTTTCTTTGGTATAGTGGCATCTTTAATATTCATGCCTACATTTTTTATGTCTATTTTGTTGATATAAAATTTGTGTTTGGATAAATGAATTTTATAAATATTAACTTTTATGAATATAAAGAACATTGGGATACACCATCTCAAAAGCTAGCTCAAGGGTGAGAGTGCCCAAGGCCTTATAAAGGCCACATCAATTGCCCACATAATCAATGTGGGACTATATATCTCAACATACCACTGTTAGGAATTGGTACGGGGGAGCCCAAAACCCTTTGCAAAAGGTACATCCACCAATGGGCCAAAAGACAAACCACAATAAGTGGGCCGACACCACATCTTAACCCAAAACCTTAAGGCTGTAGGTTTATGGGTCTTTTACACTTATATAGTGATCACTTGGTCTTATTCTAGTCTATGTGGTACTTCTTTACAACTCATACTTGATTATTCCTAACATCTTCCCTCAAGTGTGAAGCCCAATATCATTCTTACCCTAAGGACAACTTCTGCGAAAGTCTCTTTTTTTTTCTCTTTCAAATATTAGGGTCACACTAGCCTTCTGCAGAGGCATTCCAAACACTTGGCTCAGATCGTTGGCTCTGATACCACTGTTAAGAACCTTGGGATAACTATTTAGTTTAATTTTGTAAATATTTTTCTTTCCAATAAAATCTTAAAAGAAAATATGGTTGAGTGATTGCCAACCATTAGATATTTAACTAAAGCGTCGTGCAGTTTTATTTGACGCAGATTATCCATATTCGTTTTACTAAATTTAATGTGAAACTTTATTCCAAGGTTATAAATATGTACTATTGAGCTCTGTACAAAAAAAGTTAGGTACCTGGTTTATGTTCAAATTCACCTATTCTGGTCTCTTATGCATCTATGCAGACACTTAATGGTTACCAAAGATTTAAGATATATGAGAACACCAAATCATAGACTTAACATACCACAAGCCTCGGGACTAGCATTTTACCTACCAAAAAGAATTGTTACCACTTTCAATTCTTAGCAACTGATTAAATTGGCTGCATTTTTTATTTTTATTTTTTGGCATAGGTGAAACAAATTCTCTGTAGTCAATCCAACGGGAAGACATTATGGTCAAACCAAACACAACTTTTTTGTCATGTTTCTCATTCTAAAAGGATACCACAAATATTGAACTTATAATATGCAAAACCCAATTGCTAGATAGAACTATAGGAAACATGTCACACGCAAACTGCTAATAATTAAATGCCAAAAGGCTTCAAATTTTTCCATATTAAAGCTGTAAAGTTTAGGTTCTTTTCTATTCTAGTAAATTAAGAGTTATTCAGGAGAAAAATAGACTTATTTAAGCTAAGCAAGACACCAAGTATTTAAAATCCTTTGACAAGAAAGTTGTCAACGATAACTAAAAATTCAAAAGAAAATCTTTGCAAGTTCATCTCAAATATGTATAAGTAACTGTCACAATTCAGAAGAAAAAAAAAAGGTTATTACTAATTTCAAAAGCCAATCAGAACAGGGAACCCATTTAGAAAATCCCAGTGAGAAGATTTGCAGCAGTGGAGATGGCAGCTCCAGTAATAGCACATTGCACAATCTGTTCATGAGTGGAGTCTTCCAATGTAAGTGCAAGGGTCGCCCCAGTGATTGCTCCAGCAACTGCACTATTTTTCTGCATCAAACATAAATGATGATGGCATTTTGTTGTGAATACCAGAACACAGAAATAGAACATATGGCACTATCCCGAGCACAATAAAAATGAGGGAGAAAGTGAGAGAAACTCCATATTTATCATTCACATGAAAAAAATGGTCCACAAGAAGGGACCAAATAATTGAAAATATCAAAATATCCCAAAAGCAGGTATTGTTGTTCCTGCTACTTAAGAGTGCATGTTGCTTAAGTTCAAACATTTAAGTCTTAGGTAGAGTTAAGATTGAGATCTAAAATTCAAAGTCTTGTAGTAAACCCAGATAAAAAAGTACTACCCAGTCATGAGCTCCACGAGCTTCCTTCAACCCATATGTAAGACCTGAATATATTCCTGCTGCGACTCCTGCATTTCCCAACAATCTGTAAGGTTCCTATGTCCACATAGGGAAATTTTACCTTTAAATTTGTGTTCATGTACTGGCAATATCACTGAGATATTTCTCATTGAAGCAAAACTGAATCGCTTTATCAAATGGAGTAAACACAGAACATGAACACAAGGAAAGCAGAAAATGTTGTTAAACTCAAATTGGCCTTACAGCTTTGGCAAATCTAAGTCATTACACAGCTATAAACAGTAACTAATTGTTAGAAAATCCACATTTTGATATAACAGAAGCAAACGGTGTCCTAGCTAGGTAGAGAAAAATTTTCATTACCCCATTGTATGGACTCTTTCCCGGTTTTCTTCACCTGAGGATGAAAAAAAAGCAACACAATTAACAGAAAAACTATAGAGTATATAACAAAAGAATCACCCAATTTATCTCAGATTCACTTTGCAAGTTCACTTGTGAACCACTAAGGCCATACATATATAATGAAAGCCAGGCTTTGAAGGGTTCTGGTGGGAGAATTGTATTTATAATGTTAAAAGGTTATAAACTTACCATAGCCTCGAGGGATTTGCTACTGGTCTCTCCTAAATGCACAAAACAAAAGAACAAAAATATTAATATTTTCCCAACATATAAATTCAGTACAAAAATCAAGAGATTGGCCTAAAAAATATTGGACACAACAATTTCAATCCTTTGAAATATTCATGTTCCAAAAACTTCATTCGTGGAATAAAAAAAAAAAAAAATAGCAAATAGAAATGAAAATTAGTTACTAAAACTCCCAATAACCGATACACAAATCAATAGTGTTGCATGTTGCATGTACCTCTAAGACCCGGCAAAGGTTGTTTCTTGGCACCTGAAATTTCTGGTGGCAAACCGCCGTGGTGATCCTCCCTGCTACCTATGAATCCACATAATATTGATTAGTTTTCAAAATGGTGCAACATTTCCATGATAAAAATAAATAAATAGTGAATTAATTTTCTTTAAAAAAAATGGAAATTAATTTTTTTTAGATTCAAGAGAAACACATATAAATAATAACAGTACTTGCAATCAAATCTTACTCTGCAATCTGCATGTTATTTATGATAATCATTAATAAGGGAATTAGAATATTGCACCTTCAAGGGCTGTGAAATAAGCCTCACGGGACACAGCTTGAACAGCTCCTATCTGGAAGACATGATCAATTAACAAGCCATAAGAGAGAGACAGAGTACGTTAATCAAAAATCAACAATGAAAAAATTGGTTACACTTACACATGCATCATGCATGCATGCATTTAGAAGAGAGGGAAAGAGATAAGAAAGGTATACGTACTCCAGCAGCTTTGACGAAACTCTCAGCGATACGGTTGAGAAGAGGGTGTCCAAGGTCGAATAGTCCTTTTCTATCAAAGTTACATAGTTCATCAAGCAGATTCCGTGTCTCCAAGTTACTGCTCGTGCTCATATTCATCTTTATATTTTCCTTTATTTATTGCTCCTGAACCTTAACAATATGATTCAGATCGATCCTCGATCTATCTGATTCACTCCATAAAAGAGAAACAGAAAAAAAATGTGTGAAGGAATAACTTATCGGTATAATAATAACAACCAAGAGAGAGAGAGAGAGGAGATATGAAGTAAACACGTGGGTTGGGTTGGAGAACACGTGTATCACACGTGGCTGTTCATGAAACAAGGAGTATATATGCGCAGTTGGTGGCAACAGAATTGACACTTGGATTCTGATTATGCCATGCCATGCACTACTACTAATCAGGGGTTGGGTTAGTGCTTTCGACCGAGTCCTCTTCTGCTGCTGCTGCTGTTTACAAAACGTGTTAAATACTCAATATTTAGATATGCATTACATAAATAAGACTCCGAAATATGTATTTATTGTGAGTATAAACGCTTTGCGTTGTAATCCTTACGGAAATTGTGACGAACATGCGAGTGGACATAACTTCCAAATGTTCTCAGTTTAAACACTTGGTTGAAATGTGGAAGCGTTAACAATGCTAGCTAAATTGTGTTGCATCGTTAGTCGAGGTAGCACACTGGGTGACCCGCCCCGCTCGGCCCTGCCGTCAATCTGTCAAAAAATGAGTCAGCTCGTCTTGTTTCGTTTGACGGGTTGGTCCACTAACCCGAGCTTATCTTACACTGATCCGTCTCGACCTGCCTATGCCCGTCATCAACTCGCCAAAAAATGAGCTCGCCCAGCTTTTAAGAGGGGTTGAAAAACTCAGTCCGCTCCTCTCCGTTGGCGGGTTCAGCGGGTTGGCCCGCCGAGCCGAGCCCGTTTTACCCGTTATAGTTAGTGACTAGACAAGTTGGTAAAAGTTCATAATTTCAAAATTGTCCTTCTAAACTAAATTTCACAAACTATCATTATTCTAATCGAAATCATTTTCTGGTGTCGTTGAAAAATAAAATCTCTCAAAAAAATTTTATGTATTAAGGATATTATATAATTATAATATCATATATTGTCATCTAATATGATAGAGAAAGGAAAAAATAATAATTTTATCATTATAACTATGTAATACTCTTAATACATAATTTCTTTTTTATTAAAAATAATTCTCAGAGAAAAATAAAACTCTTATTTTAAACCATTATATTATGATTTATTTATTAATCCCTCTATAGCCAACAGGTCAATCAATCACCATAAGCCATTGATTGTTACACAAACTAAATGCCGGCAATCCACCACTACCTGAGTCGCGCTTGTTGCTCGAGATACCGATCAGATCCTCACCGTCATTGGCAGTGCTGCTCCCAACCGAATCCACGGGGCTGTGTGGTGAGCAATTTATTTCTTTAAAAATATACAAGTTTATTTTAAAGGATTAATTTTTGTTAACTTTCAGATAAAGGTATATAAAAAAAATGTTAGTGGTTGTTTTTGTTTTAGAAAAATAAAAAATAAATTTTGTTACAAAAATATTGTGAAAATTATATAATTTTATTAAAAAAGGGAAAACTCCAATAAATAATTTGTATTTCGTAAGTAGCTAAAGATAATAGTTTACGGGGGAAAAAAACTATATAATTAAAACAAATTTGCTCAATTGTACCCTTCCTACATGTGTTTGGAAGTCAATATTAAGAGGAAAAATAAAAGAAGGAGAAGATGTTGCTTATATCTTCCCCTTGCACATGAGTTTTAAAAATGAAGAGAATAGAGAATTTATGTAAAACCCTTAAATACTCTTCTCACATTTTAAGTTTAAATCAGAGTTTCCCCAATTTATAGAGTTTAAGAGGGAACATATAATAAATGACTTATATGCCCTTATTCTATTTTTCAAAAAATTTGACTTTCTCATTCTTAAAATTATTTAAATTTATTTGATAAAATTATTTTTTTCCAATTGCATTATTTTAAAATAAGTGATTTACTTATATATATAATTTATAATTTTTAATAATTTTAAATTAGTTATGATATGAAATAGGCAATTTTAAAAAGAAAAATAATTTTTAGAGAGAATAACTTTTTAAAAGAATAATCATTTTTCAAATGCGAAAATTACATAAATTTTTTTAGAAGTTTAAAAAAAATTAAATATTATTTTATTTGTAAAATATAATAATTACATTAATTTTTTTAAATTAAAAAAAAAAAAATATATATATATATATATATATATATATATATAAATATAAAAAAAACCTCTTATTAACTATTCCTTTTTTTCTCTTATATTTTTAACTTCCAAAAAAACTAAAAATACCCTTTATTTTCCTTTCATTTCTCTTAAATCCTCTTCTTTTCCTTCCCCTCCAAACTCCCAAACACACTTTATGAAATTCTCACATAATTTCATCAAAAACCTTCTGTTAGTCTCTAAAATTAATTTGACTAACAGTATTTCAAAAATTTAATAGTAATTTGTATCATATAAAGACTAATATACGCAATGTTCATCCATGCCAAGCTTCAGCAACCACTGCATGCATTGTCTTAACTCCAAGTCTGCCTTGCCCGTGGCTCAAGGGTAACCGAACTTGTGTTCCTTGCGAGAACTTCCGGGCCTGTCGCATAAGATTGTGCAGGCATGCATTATTGGTATCGGCCAATGGTTTAAGATTTCATGGCAATCAATATGTGCTGAGAAAGAGAATCGGAGACGTAAATGTGTTGGGAAGCACTATTATTACAAAAGAAAACAAAATGGCAGAAAGGTGAAAGTTACCCCTTCAGTTAGGTAGCTGTACTGTAAGAAACGGAAAAAACCCACAAATGCTATCAAATAATGGACGCAACAGCTGCTAAAGGTCAAGCAATCAACACTAAGTTTTTACCTTAGAAAGCCCGCATAATAGGTAAAGCCGAAATACAAAGTTAAAGAGAGATCTAGGGATGAAGTAACCAGCGTAACTAGTTACGATGACAGAACTGCACGGTAAGTCAAATGCATAGTTCAATTCAGATTTACAACGGATGCTTTTTTTTTCCTACTACATCTGTGAAAAATTGGCCCTAGAAACTCACTGCACATATCCCTATTATCACATCCACTACAAAAAAGGGGGAAAAATAGAAAAGCAAAACCTGTGTAGGGCGCATATTTGCGCCCTCTATGAGGAAGTCAATATAACTTTAAAAAGGGTAAAAAAATGATAACAAAAAAAAAAAAAAAAAAAGCTAAACACTAACCCAGAATCCTCTTGCAGAAATTATGACAAAGGAGCTGGAAGAGGTAAAAAATTGGAGAATGAAAAGAAAACGACAGAATTATTGCTGGTGAATGTTATACAAAAGTAACAATTACTATGCTCAAAGCCCGAAATACCCAACCGAAGCATAGAAGCAGATCCAAGTTGCTGTATAATACCTTGCCGCCTCTCAGTGGCACTGTACAGTATTTCCACACGTCCTCCCAGAATGCATACTCAGAACTTACCCCCCGGTAGAAAGAACTCCTTTGTCTCAAATAGGCACAGCAACCACTTTGCCACCAGCAAATCCATAGGTCAAATAGCACAATTTGCCTTCCCCTATATGGTTCTAAAATCTTAAGATCCATTTACGGCCATCTCTGGAGAGGATTTTGGAGAAACCAATGGATGTTCCTCGCAACCCAACTGTCCATTATCAGAAGTGCCAAGTCCATCAGAAAAGTTTCTAGATGCAGCCGTTTCTTTCTCTACATAGTTCTCTTCAGCTGTTGCGTTGCTATTCTCAGAGCAGCTTCTAGAAACATTTGGCTCCTTTTCTTGATTGTCTTCACTTGAGCTCATCCTCCCATCAATTGTCAAAGGACCAGTATGAATGTTGATTGCAGTTTTCTTACCAGGTAGCACAGTCTGGCTCCAAGTTGAACACAAGGCATTAAAAACATTCTCTTTTGATTTTGAATTCTTAGACAACTTCTGCTTCTTTATAAGCTCCGGATCCTTATCCTTTGGAGGCAATTTTCTTTTCAGCCTGAGATACTCCATCGTCTCTTCATCCTCTTCAGAAGCTTCTGGCCGCTTCCTTGGTGGTGGCCTGTAATCCTCATCATCCTCATCATCATCATAGTCAACTAGTCCACCAGCCCTTGGACTGAAAATCAAGACAAATGAATTAACTAACAGAAGATGATCATGAGGAAGTTGGACTACTCAAATATAAAGAAAAACAAGTATACCTTAACTGTGAGTAGCTAACAGTAACTCCATTGGATAACACAGGTTGATGTTGTTGCCCTTTCTGATTACGTGAAATAGATGCAGAGGTTGTATCCTCCTCATCGCTGATTAACCACCAAAAGTCAAGAAACTTCATGCCAGTTGTATAAAATCTTCCTACATACTTATAAAAAAAGATATATACCTGTCCTCATTAAAGTAGTCTTCCTCTTCTTTCTCCAGAGCACGCTCATCAAGTCGTCTTCGAAGGTCAGATAACATTACAGTAGCTTTTGTCCCATCATCATCCAAACACTGCAAGCAAGCACGTAATCTCAAGAACTATGTGCTTGGACAAGAAGTGGCTAAATACAAGAGGGAAATACCTGCTCATATTTTACTTTCAGTGAATGAACGGAAGCTAAATACTCAAATTTCACTAGCTGGTCCCAGAAAGAATCAACTATATATTTCAGCAATAATTTCATATTCTCCTGCATTATACAAAGTTATCAGTACACAACTGCTTGTGGCAACTAATATCCACAATGAATACATATAAAAGAATGGTACCTTGCGAATATACTCAAAAAGTTCAAGAACTGCAGAATTGAGCAGATTGTAGCGATTGCCATCAGCAACAAAGGCATCTACAATTGGCTTGAGAAGGTTGTTTCTAACAAAATGATTTATCAGATGCTCATCCTGCAGGGCAACACTCCAAACTGTTAGATGCACTGCATATGAGGAGCAATCCACCATAAATCTGCAGGAAACAATTATATATATAGGAGAGATAAAAAAGAGAATCACAGTCATGGTGTAAGATAACTAGTTTCATCGAATTAAAAAGATTCTGCCAACTAACCTATGAGGTTTAATTTCAAACTTAATACTACGAGAACAAGAAGTCAGACAAAAAATTGAGACAACAGCTTACATTAAAAGCTACCAATATAAACAACTCAAAACAGCAATAACAAAGTAAACTAAATTGCCCAAAATATTATTCTATGCATAACTGATACCTTCATCCCCTCTTTAAAGAAGTCTAAGAATAAATTAATAACAAAAATTTATACCCATTTTTCAAATTTATCAAGAGAAAGGGAGCCTTGGCACAATGATTTTGCCAAGTGACCCAGATGTCACAGGATTGATCCATATAATCAGCTTCTTGCAAATGCAAGGTAAGGCTGCCAACTATAGACCTTTCCCTGGACCCCACACAGAATGCCGAGAATGGAAGCTTCATAGCACCAAGTTTCCCTTTTAACCATTATCAAGAGAGAGATGCTCTCAAACTGCAAAGATTCCATGTTCAAAATTCCTCATACCTAGTTACTTTCTAAATATAATTTACTACACACATCTGATACGTATTTACACCGATAACAAAATATTCCCTTAGACTACAATTGAACGTGGGTGCTAGCATGATGCAAGTAAATTGTTCAGATGATTACAAAGAAAGTAGGCAAATGCTCAACACTTCAACAAGAGTGGGCCGATGAGCTCCAAAATGACAAAAGGTACAGCTTAGTCACTGATAATAAGATTTTGCAAGAAACGAAGAAATTAAGACAGACAAAAAACTCTAAACAAAATGTGGTTCATAACAAAGTAAAGGGAAGGAAATAACTGATAGTTGATGTAGAATAAAATGAGTGCCAGGTTTTACATACAAAATATTTCCAATATTCCACTCAGAAGGGTGAGGAAATAAAGAAAAATAAGCTTCATCATCAAACTTCAGACCATCCTCAAGCTTAAATCACTAACACAACCAGTCATACTACCTAACCCTAAAAATGAAACAAATCAGTAAGACACCACTGTTTAACTACAAATAAGCAGTAATCAAAGTTCATTCGGCAATGTCTGGGGAATGTGTTATTTTCACTCAAGATAAGGCTGTAAGACCCTTATGACCCCCAAAATTATAAGTCCATGACTGAATGTCAGGAAAAATAGTTATATATATAAAGGGGGGACACTTTCACTCTGGCAGATGCCAAAGACCATCATGATCAACATCAGCGGCCATACCAATAGCAGATCCCCTGGTGCCGCCATGATGAACACGCCATCATCCCATGGGAATTTTATCCAGTGGAAACCTTAACCAACCACCTCATTCAGCCATGGCGGCTACTGTTGACAAAACTGAGATACTGTATTATACAATTACAGTATCTGCACAAAAGTTTAAACTTACATGACGTGAGAGAATAGTCCGAACAAACCGGACAGCACCAACAACTAGGTATTTTTCTCTTCTCCTTGTCAGTAACAAAATTTTATCAATCACATTATTTACGAGAAAGTTGCACCTGTAAACAGTAGAGACCCACGTCACATATTACAAGATCAGAAACAAAAAGTCAATCTCCATTACAGCAGGGAAACAGGAAATACTTTATCCTGTATGGATGATGTAGGACACAAAAGGCAAGTAATTCACATATGTTTGATAGTATCTCTGGCTTTGTCCCACTCTGATACTGAACTCCTTGGCCAGGATCTATTGTTTTGGTTCTCGCATGAGCAACATTTTCTGAAGGACATGATGCTGTTATCACTTCCATTAGTTGACCCAGATGCTTCTCGTAGAAAATGTCAATAATAGTGTCCCTCTGCCAGATGAAACTAAAAAGTTACTAAAAATAACTTCAGTAATAACTATCTACCAAACCTAGAATGAGACTTCCATCTTACGTGAAACATTAATGGACAAGTTTCTCCAACAATTTAACAGATATATTATAACACAACTCAACATTCAAAATTTAAACCTGCACAAACAAACTCAAATGCAATGACTCCAAATGCAAAACAAAAGAACACATACTTCAATCCTACATGGAACTTCAACTAACAAGCTTGTCCAAGTCCAAGAAAGATATATCCATAAAACACAACTAAACATTCAAAAATTTAAACCTGCATATGCGACTATGCGCTGATTCCAAATGTAAAGCTATTTAAAGTGAGAACATGGAAGAAACCAAGTTTACTCACAGAGAAATGGGGACTAGCTCCTTATACCAGAAATGAGTTCTAGAATTCTTGGAATACAATAAGAACATACAGGAAAGAAAACAGAAAACGAAAAATGAATCAATTCGGAGTATGGAAACCCCAGCCTTAGCAGAGGCCTAACCAATTCCTTCACACTAATTCCCTCCCTACTCTCTAAGAACTGCTCTTGGAGTCCCCTGCACCTACACCAATTCTCACCACAAAAAACAGCCGCTTTCTAACTGCAACATGAAGCTGCACGATAGCAATTCTATGCTCAATTAGAATATTTCATACCCCAGCAAATAAAAAATTCCTGCAACATCTCAACAATGCAATCAACCAAATGAATCCAGGTCTAAAGGTTTCTCATACGTTTGTGAGGGCTTATGAAAGAAGAGATGTAGGGGATCACTGCTCTCAATTGTATATACTGACTCAGCAAAGGTTAGTTAGGGGGGAATCTGTTTGTTAAGAGTCACACATGTGGAGCATCTGACAAAGGTTGGTATCAAATATGTTACGACCCATACTATATGAGTCAGGCATTGTAGTTAGGTGGTTAGAAGTAGTTAGTCCCTCGTCTAAATAAGGGCAACGTTCTTTCAGTCATAATCATCTTTGAGATTGTATAATAGAATTGACTGAGGAGTATCTCAGTGTGAAGAGGAGTGCCCCTTGAGAAGAGCTTGCTCTTGAATTTTGTCAGTGTACTCTTTGCTGTTAATCAAATAAAGAATTGTTTTTTCCTTCATTTCCTTTCCTTTTCATCCTCCTCTCTCCCCTATTTGTGTGATTCTTTCCTTGTAAAAATCTAAGGTCGTAACAATTGGTCCAACCTGCAGGACCTTTGAAGGGACGAACGCAATGGGAAGAGCTTTGAAGAATTCTAGAAATCATATCAAGAAGAAGACCAGCGATTCAGAATTCAATGAAAAGTTGCAGAAAATAATAAAGATTCTTGATAGGTTGGTGAAGAAAAGAGAGACACCAATATGCGAAATGAAGAATCATGATTTTGTTGGAACTCCAAAGGGAGACACCAATAGGTTGGAAACTCAAGTAGTTTCCAAGCCAAAAATGTGTACGCAAAACATGGAGATAGAAGAAGGTGAGTTTCATGATTTCAAGATGGTGAAGCCATTGGTGAAGATGCAAGTGGTGGCCGATGCAGAAAAGGAGGAGATCCCATCTTCTGGAACCAAGAAGATGCATTAGTTCGAAGATCTGTTGGGGAAGATGCAAGAAAAGACTGATTCAATCCCAGAAATTGACGCCAAAAAAGGGGAGACAGAAGAAGAAAAAAAGAGAGGCAGATCTCACATGCTTCTTAACGAAAAAGAAAAAATGTTCCTACCATTGAAGTCAGCCTTTATGAGAGTTGGTGGGGAAAATATAGAGCTTGGTGGAGCCTGTTAACTCTCCAAAAGAGAGTTAATTTTGTGCTTTTAAAGTTAAATTGCTGCAATATGTGGCATAAAATTATCTTAAAGCATGATTAATTGAGCTTAATGTGCATAAATATGATGTTAAGTGTTTTGAGATGATTATATGTTAAATTGATGATTTTTGGTATGATTTTGATGTTGGAACAGATAACTGGCTTTGTGTTTTATTTTGCAAAAAGATGTTGCAGCTATGCTATAGCAATGGACCAATTGAATTAATGATACCCTGCGTTCTGGGTTCTAACAAACTGGATATGTTGATAACTGGAAGATTTGAATTCAGCTTGAAAGAATCACGAAATTCTTGCAAGGTAAGGATGTGATAAGGTTGTTATGAAGATTACCTCTTTATAAAGCTAAAGATAACAGCCTTATCCACATCCAAAACAGCAAGGAAGATTAGATTAACAAGGATTCTTATCAAATCATACCAGAAGATCGAGCTGCAGCACTGGATATTCAAAGTAAAGCCCAAACTTGGACCAAGTCATTTAAGCTTATAAATACAAGCACTCAAGAATCCACAAGAGACACCAAGAAAGAGATCAGAAAAGCACCACGTTCAAAGTTATTTTTTCACACTAATCGAGAGATAGTGGACGGTTCAAGTCTGAGAAGAAGAACCTAGAGAGAGAGTGATTCTTGGAGGAAGAAGAGCTGCTAGAGCGTAGCTGGAGCAAGACTGTGGCAGAGTTTTACAATAGCGTGTTTTAGTTTTCTCTTCTATTTTTCCACGAATTCTTTCTTCTTTTTCTCTGTTTTCTTTTATTCCATCATGAGCTAAATTGCTCCTTAGGTTAGGTGATAGAGTACCTCTGCTATAACACTGTAATGGATGCCTCTACTTTGTTTTATGAATGTTTAGTTAGTTATTCAACAAGATTGCTTATTCTTATTCATGTGTGCATGTCAAGAGATACATATATGACATTGAGGAGGTTGGGGCCGAGAGATTTCCGAATCCAGACCCTTGCTGAATTGTGTTGGTCAATAGGTGAAGATAAAGTAAATTAATTGAGTTAATTAGGTAAAAGTGCAGTAACTTGGTTAATTAGGTGGAAAAGAGTAACTTAATTGGATTGATTAGGTGAAAGAAAAGTAACTTGATTGATTAGATAAAAGACAAGTAGCTTAATTGAGTGGTGAATAGAGAGATCATTCACACCACATAGCCTCAGAACTTGAACTTAATGAATTCGATAATTAATTTGCCCATAGAGATGTGGGGATTAGTTATTGGGTATATATGTTAGGTTGGCCAAAAGCCCCAACATATCTTAGTGTTCGGTTACTAATTAAGCATTGATAGATAGCATCGTTTCAGTATTGCTGTATCAGAAAAATTGAACCTGACCTATATCTCATCCATCACTTTAATACCTTAGATTAGTTTGTTGTTTCTTTACTTTTATTGTCTTTACTTTACAAAACCATCCATAAAGATTATTCCTTTTCTAATTTCTTCACTTGAGTAATTATTGCTTTATAAATCATCTCCGTGAAAACGATACTTGGACTCACACATCCCTTTATTACTTGTGACACGTGCACTTGCGTATTTGTATGAATATTAATTGATTGCAAATTGCACAACAGCGCCCCGAACAAAGAAGGAACAAAAAAGTCAGATAAGGAACAAGAGGAAAAGACCGAAACAAAAGCAATAGAGAAGCAAGCTGAAAGAGATCCTCCTGCGTCTCCGCCACCACCGGACCTGCCTGAGTGGAAGGTGGTTTGCAGGAGAGACGAGTGGGTTCAAAAGAAGAAAGAAGCAGCAAGAGCCAAAGAGAGATTCTATAAAATGGGTCCTTACTCTTGTATAATGGGTCATCAGGACCAACCCAAATTTAAAAGTAAAAAAATAAAGAAAGACCAGTAAAGGAGAAATCTGCGGGGTTAGGACATCAACAATGGATGGGCTCAAGAATCAAGAAGGTGGGTCACATATCATACCACATTTTCTTCGTCAAAGCCTCACCAGTAATATCATGAGGACGTGGCCAAAAAACCAAGACGGTGATAGTCCTAGACCTCGTCAAGACGTTTGTCACAAGCTACTCAAGGAGTTCTCGCTTCCCATTTTCGATGAAGCTGTAGTGATAAGCATTGTTCTCTCTCTCCATGTTTGTAGAACAGGTCTTCGTGATTACTATGGTGTAGGTAAAAAGCCCATGGGGTTAGGTATGAGAAAGTCAAATCTTGACAAGTACAGATCTATATTACCATCGGATTTGGCATCTAACAAGCAATTGACTTTCCACAAGGTACTGACCTATGCTCCTGAGGGCCTTGTTGTGTACATCATAGAGAAGCAGATGTGGCAGGATAAAAGAATTGAGAGAGACCGAGACAAGAAAGCTGCAGAGAGGGTAGAAATCGGATTCATCAAAATGGGTCTCAACTATTGGTTCATTGGTCAGGCCCAATAATAGGCTGAAAGAAGCGAGTGTAAGGGGAAAATTTGCTGCGTTTAGGTACCCGCAATGGTTGGGCTCGGGTTTTAGCAAGGTGGGGTGTCGTCATCAACCCAGAAGTCATTGCTTCCCAGTGTCCACTATTGGCAATTTGCAAAGGATCGAGGCCGTTAAGGTTGAGTATAGTGTAACCAACCAGCTGGGTGATGTTCGTGGTGGAACACAGGAGTTTGTTGATTATTATGGGTATTGTGGTGATTCCGAATTAGAGTTTACAGCAGTTCTTTGATGCAAGAGATTGATGACAGTTTGTTCAATGAGTACGATGTTGATGGAGATTGTTTGAGCAAAATTCCCACTTACCAATTTGGTAACTTTGGGAATTTGAGATTGGGTTCTCCATCTGCGTGCATTGCCAATCCCCACAAGGAATAAAGAAGCATTAACAATAATAATTTTGCAAAAATGTCAGTGATACAACAATGCATACGCAGCTGCTGTATTCCGAAGCGATCAAATAAATGCTTGAACGAAGCACTCTACCTGAAGCTCTTCAAAGATGATAAGGTAATATCATCGCTTGGGATATCTTCAATTAGGGGTATGCGAAAATCTGCAGTACAGGCTTGGAAATGCTGAAGTACATTTAGTAGATACAACCAGACACCCAGATGGTAGGTTGTTTGACACATTGATGGCCACAATGGAAATGCTTAGCACTGTTGCATATGTTCGTACCATAGCTATGTTTAGGCTAATAGCTATTAATATTGGAATGATTATTGGGATAAGTCAGCAACCGGAAAGTGTCATAATGGTCACTGATTTTGCTAATGGTTTTGTTGCTCGAACATCTTTCTTGTTTAGTGCTTACAGGGAAGACATTTCTACCATTACTCATAAACCTTTTAAGCAGAAAGAAAGAAACTTTGAAACTGAAGCCAAAGCTGGAGTTATGAAGTTTTTTAGAGATGTCACTACAACATAGGGACATTTTCAATATCTCAAGTTTCAACCTTGAGGACAGGGTTGTTTTAAATGGGGCGGCATTGTTACAACCCATATTATATGAGTCAGGCTTTGTAGTTCGGTGGTAAGGTTGTTAGGAGTAGTTAGTCCCTCGTCTATATAAGGGTAACATTCTTTCTGCCATAATCATCTTTGAGATTGTATTGTAGAATTGACTGAGGAGTATATCAATGTGAACGGGAGTGCCCCTTGAGAAGAGCTTGCTCTTGAATTTTGTCGGTGTACTCTTTTGTTGTTAATCAAATAAAGAATTGTTTTTTCCTTCATTTCCTTTCCTTTTCATCCTCCTCTCTCCCTTATTTCTGTGATTCTTTCCTTGTAATAATCTAGGGTCATAACAAAATAGCAAGAGAGGCATCATTTTTGGGGGATCTGGACATTTTGGGACTGGACTTGGGCATTTGGGAGAGAAGCCAGAAGCTCTCGAATACTTATGGGTGGCCATTACTTTGGTGTCCTCTTTTCTTTCTTTAATTTTCTGTCCATCTACATGTAATCTAGTCACTGCAACATGATTTGTAAGCATTTCCCTTATTCCAATATCCGTTGTAGTGTCTTCAATCGTATACTGGTGTTAGCATATTTCATAACAATAATTCATTTTAGTATTTCCTTTTCCATTTTATTGTGAATTGGTAGTTATAACAGTTTCCAAGTGCGCAAAACATATAGTACATATGAGCAGATTGCAAATGGCCAACGGAGGATTATCCTCCTTCAAATGTCCAGTCTAGCCATGAAGGAATTTGTTCTTGAAAGATGAACAAAACAAAAACGTCATTGGTTCCTCCCAGATCAGACACAAAAATGTCATTAATTGTCTTCCTGCTCACGCCTTCGATTGCTCCATCACTCATGGAAAAATTTAACATTAATTGTGTTTAAAACGAAGACAAAGGCTCCTTTCTCATATACCTAGTTGAATGGAAATGCTTGTCCTTTACCATGAGCTGAGTAAAATTCGTGAAATTCAAATCTAACAGTAGACTTGCAATCAATTGTAAATGATATTGTACAGAAGTTCCATTCCATGGTAGCATTAATGGCTAACTCTAGGAATGAAAAACTGATTCAGAAACTTCTTGTTTCTTTGCAACACAGGCATCAGCTATAGGCTGAAAGAATATGCTTAGAATCTCATGCATCATCATTTTCCCTCAACCAATCACTAAGTTGAATTACTAGACCAAGTCTGCAAATAAGAAATGTCATCCATGACAACTGCTTTTTTGACAACAGATCCAAGAATCCCACTGTCAGAATCCACAAGCCTGGCATTCCTCAAACCATTTTAGAAAGTCAGTGGAATGAGGGATAGTGTCAGGTGTTCAGTTGATGTAGGCGGTTCTAACATGAGAACTAGGGAAAAGTTGGCAATGCAAGGAGGGCAGCCATGAACAACTTGAGGCAATGGTCACACTGAGAATGAGGTTTGTTGGACTAACAGCCATGACCAAAACTCTCAGACACAAGCGAAGAATAATCAATATAAAAAGGAGGCATGTCATTTCAGAGGGTTACTTGGACAGAATCCAAAGCAAGGATGACCAAGTTGTGTTCAGTGTGGGATAGTATGTGAGCCCAAAACCTGATCATTGTTGGTAGAATACTCTGAAGGCAAACCATAGAGGGCTAACAACACGAAAAAAGTACCCCGTAGCTCAAGTTCAAATGTTGGTGTCCCCGCAAAGGGCAAGAGCTCATTGAAGTCATGAGAGCCAATCTTACCCAAATATGCTTAAATAGGGTCATCAAACTTCGGAGGTGCAATTGCACTCATAAGGTTACGGCAATCCTCATAATGGCATTGACTATCATTAGTGTAAAGGACCTTGGCTGACTGCCGGACAGACTCGCAAGTGACGTGAGCCCAAAACATCTGTTGCAAAGATGGATGAATAGTGGATTTTATTATGTCGTACGATGGGGCTCAATCTTAGTCCACCAAAGGTGCTCAGCAGCAGCCACGACTTTAGCATTGCAATAAGGTGGTCTGCATAGTCTTGCCTATTAAGCCAAAGTTTAATATTTGAAGCTCATGTGTCATAGTTGTTGTCATCCAACTTGGTGGAGGGAGGGCCCTAACATCATTGCTGATAACAAGGAGCTTAGACTTCAATCCTTAGGAGCGTCAGAGAGCAGATCCAGCCATGGGCCAGATGTTACATTAGACAAGCAACAAACAATGTGGGGTAGATATGGGACAGCAAGCATAGATCAAATCAGATCGAGGATTGAACAAAACGGTGAGCAACATGGCCCAAATCCGGGCTCCACGTGTGGCCATGCGTGGCAGTAGTGGTGACAAAACAGGAGTGTTTACATGTGGCAGCAGTTTGGGAGTGAAACCTCCACGGATAGGCCTGACTGGGTAAGCCATTTTGGATCCTAGGGTTTTCAGCCGTAAAAGTCATTGATTAGATGCAGACAACGGCTAGAAAATGTACGGACAGTGGCTAGAAAATGTTGTGCTAGCTGCCAAAATGAAGGCACGGTAGTGGAGACTGGAAATTGGAGGGAAGACAAAGTTTCCAAAAAAAATTCTCACCAATGGACAATGGGTCCACCTGCGTCAGGGTTGCCTCTAATCTAGCTCTAGATAACATGATAAGTTAAGAGGAAATGAGAGACTTTGTGATATGTGCTTCTAAACTACACACCGGTGCCTAGACTACGTATTCAAAAAAAAAATACAAAAATCAGCAAGATAGTATTTACAAGGTTATCATAATTTCCAACACCCTCACTAATTTTCTCCCTACTCTTACTTCCCTTCCCATTATTCCATGATCGTTCACTCTTTACCCTCTCTTCTTCATAAGACCTATGACACGTAAGATGTTAGTCATGAGACCTCTCTTCTTTGCTAGTCATGCTTACTTGGGAAGATGTTCCCCAACTGCTCATGTAAGGTACACCTTCTTTAGGGGGGTATCTATCAGAATCTCACCTCCCCCTCCCCAACAGAAAAATTAGTATTAATGATGAGCAGCAAAGAAATTTACCATTACAAACCTAAATGTGGCCATAATTAAGAATGAATTATGCTCAAAAACAACTTATTTCAGAATGTTAAATTGAAGTTGACAATAACAAATTATCAGTTAAAGTTAACATTTCTCTCAAAAATAAATTAAAACTACAAAAGAAAAAAAGTAGAATAAAATATACTTTAGGCAAGCAGCATTTTGGACAGGTTAAAATCAGTTACAAAACAAAGCAAAAAAATGAAAGCACAAAAAGGAACCTGTGCTCCAGACAACGTGCACGAGTCCAATAGACTGCGAAGAATCTCAAGAAACTGGCAATGCATGTCATCTCCAAAATCCGTTATCATTCCTCTAACCTGTACATGGCAGACATTATTTTAACAAAAATGCTTAAAATTCAGAATCCATATTTTCGTATTCCATATTTCCTTAGCACAGAAACATAAAGGAATTTCCAGTAATTTTACAATTTTCTTCGGGATAACTTTTGTGTGCAAAAGTTTGTTTTCCCTATACTGTACTAAATTTAGTTTGAGAGGAACTCTGAAAAGGTCAATATATTGATGTAACTCTTTCAAGTTAGTTTCTATTGAACTTTCATAAACAAAATAACAATGGATTTCACTTCAGGCGGTATAACGCTTAATTACAAACCAACTCCACTGGACCAAGTTATCCTTTTTAAAATTTAGCAAATAAATAAATAAATAAATAAATAATTTTAGGAGAATTATTAGTCATAAAACTTGAATTCTCTTAGATTGCATTGTCTCTTATTCTATTTCCCCATCTTCTAAAGTTAATGCGCACGCGCGCGCACAAAATATACACAAATATACACAAACACACCAAGGTTATTTGATTTCAGCTATTTCTTTTGCAGATCCATGTCGTCTAGAAAGAACATTAACTTCATTTGCTAAAAAAAAAAAAAAAAAAACTTACCAACAATCCAAGAAGAGTAATTCCTTCCTGCCGAACAACATAGGATCGCAGAAGATTAGGATCCTGATTCAAGAATAGAATCAGGATATCTGTTCTGCAACGAGCACACATTTTCCTCTTAGCAATTATAACATAACAACAGAACAGTCAAAACTGAAGATTTTATACAGATGAAAGTAATAAAGGTGTAGCTATACCCAGTAAGCACAAACTTCTTGTCTTGACTTTGCAAGACATCAGTGACAATGTCAAAGATGCCCTCATTCATTAGATCCCTACAAACATTGAAATTTCAAATCGAAGAACAAATGAGATTTAATCAGATCCCCCCAAAATAGCACACTATCAGTGATTCAGTGCTAGATGTCAAAAAGTTTTGTGAGAGCTTACTAATAGAAGTATAAAAATGCGGCCTTAAACATGGCTTTTGATTAATATAATCGGAAGTTCTTTTTTGTACCAATTAAAATCTTACTACTAAGTGTACACTTACAAAAAAACCAATCTTCTGTAAACAAGTATGATTATTTCTTAAAAAATGACAACTATGCAGTATCAAAAAATATAAAGTAAATCAGTACCTGTTTTTGGGATGCTCAATCAAATTAATTCTTAACAATTACGAAGAATGCAATCAAACAATAGCGACTGACTCTAAAAATGGAGAAGACAAACTGCATGGACAGGATAACGATGAATGTCAAGATGTACCACTCCAGATGCAACATACCTAAAAAGCCGAAGCTGCTGTACCATCTGTAAGCTCTTGCTTAAACTACAAAATTCATGCAAGAAATGGACCTGTCCATCCATAGAGAGGAAAATTATATTTAAAATAAGAATAAGGTTGATCATGAGCGTCACAAAAAGGAGGCATTAACATTAAATCAGTTTAACAATACAACATACAGAAAAATCTACATTCATATCAACACATAATGAGATCAAGCAGGCAAGATTCATTTTAGTCACAATCTGTTTGTTCAAACACATCTTCACTACCAGGTTATACTCTTATAGTGCAACTCATTGGACATGATTCTTTTTGGAAAGGGAAAAAATGATTAAAAAGGAACAAATATGTCGTTGTTTGGTTTCGTTCTAAGGTGATAAGCAATGGACAGAAGCAATCATTTCGTAAAAACTTGTAATATCTTTTGTGCCCCCTTCAAGCTTAGGCAAAAATGAGAGATAAAATGAACTATTCTGCAGTATTTCCAATTAAAGAAGACATTTAAGCTTACAAGGGTGAATTTAATAAAAACATATTGTATCACAGGATGGCACATGTAGGGTTGTGACCAAGATGGAAACTAGAGAACAAGGGCACCTCGATTAAATTCAGCCAAGTTTAGCTCTAAATCAAATGCAGTATGAAGTTTGAAAATAAAGGAAAAAGAGGTTCTCGTGTTTATAATAGTATTAGTATCTTGAACAACAACACAACTCGAGATAAGAAATCTACAAAAAGTTTTGAAACAAAATCAACTGATTCGGGTAATAAAAAAGAATAAAGAAAAAGAATCACCAGTGTTGTGATGGTCACATCATCAATCCAACATCCTTTACAATATAAAATATTCTTTCACCATAGTTAGTATTTATAAAGGACAAACTCTGATGCATAAGACTTCCCAGCTTGTGAGTAAAGGGGTGAGAGTCAATTGTACACAGCTTTACTCTTAACAATTTTACAAAAAATCTGTTTCTCAAACTTAAACCCGTGACCTTCCGATCACAAGGAGCAACCTTATTTTTGCTTCAAGGCTCGCCCTGAATAAGTAGCTATTTTATGCAAATAAATATTTTGCTAGGTCTATATATTAGAATGAACCCAGGTTCAGCTATAATCAATTCATAAATAATATATAGTCCTCCTTTCATTCAAGTATTTAATAGAGCTCCCAACCTGGGAGACTCTGCTTCATAACAGCCACCTTCATAGCAGCTGCCTTTCTCCCTCCAGCGTGTGGCCCTATCCTGCATTCATAGCAGCCCCCTACATGCGTCCGACAGTGCTCGAATATGATTACTTGGATTGTTTATGAACAAGTTGGGAATCCAAAAAAGAGTCAACTATGTTCAAGACAACCCGACTCCTACTGACCTCTTGGATGTTTATCAGGGTTAGATGCATCCACCTGCACTGTCCTCCTCTTTCTCTAAAGTACCTTACATTAAGCTTACCACTACACTCAAAAATGATTTTTGTTCTACTAGTAATCCTTCTCGCACTATGTTATTTTGAGTTATCATCAAAAACGATTTTTGTTCTACTAGTAATCCTTCTCGCACTATGTTATTTTGAGTTATCATCACATTCTCATTATTCTTGCCTTTCTTCTTTATCTTTTGTATCTAGTCCTAGCAAGTAGTGCTTTATTCCATCTTGGGCAATGAAAAGCTATGGTTAGATGAAATGAGTGCACTTTAGAGCAGTGAAACTTAAGACTCTATTCCTCTTCCTTAAGGGAAGTTTGTTGCAAACTGTAGATGTATCTTCACAATTAAAGGGCGCCCTTGATGGTCAAATTGATTTTCTTTGTTAAGGAAATATATAAAATAATATATAAAACTTCACCTAACAGCTTAAGCTTTTGGAAGAGTTGGTTGTTAGACATAATATTAGAGCTTCGGTGACCAAAAATACTAGAATTCCGCTTGTCACCCCCTTTCTTCCAATAATCTTCTAAAATATATTGTGAAATTTTCTAGCATAGATGGGTGGGCCTGTCCCTAGTTAACCTTCAAATCCAATAGACTCTTATGTGAGGGAATCGTGTTAGAAAATAAAACATAAAAATATAAAATCATTCATCTGCCTTCATCTAATAACTTTAACGTTTAGGTTGAATTGATTCTTTATAGTCCTGAGAAATGTCTAGTGACGAAAGGGTATAAACAGGTTTTTGGCCTAGATTATGAGGACATCTCCTCGAGGATGGAAAAGGGTTTATATTAGCTTGTTTTTGTCTATACCCACTATTTGCCACCGGCCTCCTTACCAACTGGATGTCAACAATGTTTTTCTTCATAGAGCAACATCTTAGATTTGTTGCTCAAGAAGAATCTTTTACACTAGTTTGTTGTCTCAACAAAATCTTTTTATGGATTCAAAAAATTATTTTATAACTCAGAGTGAGGTCTTTTATTGTGACAAAGCAAAGGGTGCATTTATTTGGTTGCATACGTTTGACAACATGGTCATTCAAATAGTGATCACCATGGTATCACTCGATTAACACATAATCTTTGATGTCACTTTTAGACAAAGGACTTTGGGAAACTCATATGCTTCTTGGGAATAGAAGTGGCACAATCCAAGGATGGTATCGTAATTTCAAAAGAAAGTATGCAATGAATATTCCCGATGAAACAATTCTTATAAATGCAAACCCATTTGACACTTCTATGGATCCAAATGCCAAGCTTCTGCCAAATAAAAGGCAGTTGCTCTCAGATCAAGAAAGATTAAAAGATTAGTTAGAAAACTAAACTACTTAACAACTACTCATGCATAACATAGTTAAGAATTTTATGATTTGCAATTCAGATCTCAAGATTCGATTCAATTTTGCAAGCTAGCGACTTGTATCATCTGATGAACTCAAGATGGCTTTGAATAGTGCAATATATGCATGAAGTGCAATATATGCATGAAGTGCAATTCCTTATCACCGATACAGATTGCACAATTCATTATTTTATTTTTTCTTTTCGCTTTGTCTTCATCAATTCTTCTAAAAGAATATGAAAAGTTGAATAAGCTTAAATTCTTGAATGAAAAGGAATTAATAACCTTTTTTTATTATTCCATTGTCCTGCTTTCATTCTTCCAAAGCAGGGGATTCACAGTTACGCACTCAATCTATGCATCATATTTGGCTATTCCATCGCTCTTTTTCATTCCTTTAAAACAAAGTCTTTACATAGTCACTTGCTCCCTCTATATACACCTTATTTGGTTATATCATTGCTCTATTTACTTATAATTTTTTGTGAGAGTTATGGTTAAATTATTTCGTCAATTCCTAATTTCAAATTATTACATTGAGCATTTTTTTTATCCAGAGCTATTATTCACTGTGTCTTTGAATCTTATGATTCAATACTATTCACAACTCAAAAATTAGTCAGAATGATTCACAGTTTGAATTGCTATTTGATAACATTGATCTCGATATCTCATGTGCATTCAATGTGGTTAGATAAGTTCATTCCAAAATTCACCTTATGCAAGACATTAGGATATAGTAGTTTGTATCCTCATTTAGGATAGTCAAGCTACACTGCATATAACCTCTAATCCAATATTTCATAAGAGGACCAAATACATAGAGATAGATTGCTATTTCACTAGAGAAAAGGTCCTATTAAGAGATATTGCCACACAATTGGTCAATTCAAATGATCAACCAGCAGATATTTTCACCAAGTCTCTAATAGCTCCTAAGGTACGTTAGTTACATGGGTAACAAACTCGGTAAACGTGGCATATATGCTCTAGCTTGAGGAGCAATGTTATATTCGATATCCTAATTCTCAATTTGACTCGTCTCTAAGCTTTCCTTATAACACAACTTTTACTCCAGCACTTGATTCTAGTAGATTCCAATTGCAGTTCAAAAGGCATTGAAGGACAAGAACTAGATTCAAGTAATGAATGAGGGCATTGCAGAAGAATAGAACATTGAAGGTTGTTGAAAGACCACGAGGAAAAAGCCCAGTAGAATACAAATGGATATATACCTTGAGATATTGGTCTAATGGTATACGAAACCGACTTTCCTAATGGTATTAGGAACCGACTATCAAGAGTACCAAAATGAATATGGTAAGAGTTTTACTCTCCCTTGCTGCTCATCATAGATGTGAATCACAAAAATAAAATGTTAAAAATACTTTCCTTCGTCGAGACTTGGAGGAGGAAGTTTATATGGAGATGACACCCAAATATAATTCTTCTGGTGAAGAAAATAAGGTATATAAGTTTTTTTAAAAATAAATAAATATTGCATGGACAGAAGCAATGAAGATGCTAACTATGAAAGATCAGTTACTGACAGATCAATCTCTCGCTAATGAACGTTCTTGGGTGGAAAATCAGTTACATAGAGTATGAATGAGCAAGAAACAAAATGTTTTCACTTGATCAAATGCAGAGGGTGAGTTGCAAACCATGGCACAAGGAATTTGGGAACTACTATGGATTAAGTTATACTGTATGATCTTGGGATAAAGTATGAAAATCCTATCGAGTAATTTTGAGACAGCAAATTGGCCTTTAACATTACTCATGATCCAGTTCAACATAACAGAACTAAACATATTGAGGTGGACCCATTGCACAGAGAAGAAACTAGATAGTGGACTGATTACCACAACATAGATTGCTTCAGGGTCCAGCTGCCAAATGTATTAATGAAAGGACTTTGTACGAAGAAATTTCAGGATTTTACTAGCAACCTAGGAATAATAATATCCATTTAGCATCTTGAGGGGGAGTGTTATAATAGTCCCACATCAGTCTCGCATCCTTTAAGCCACAGTATTCTTTGTAAATCATTATAATTATTGTGAAGTGTTCTATTATCAGAGATCAGTCGTCATCTTAGGCAAGCAAATATTTAGTTAAGTCTATATGCTATTAGAATGAACCCATGTACAGTTTTATTCAATTCAGAAATAATATACAGACCCTCCTTCATTCAAGAAACAATTAATAAAATAATAACCTAAAGAGAGTGTACAGAACAACAGGGACCATTTATTAGCATAACCTCACTGGAATTCCATTTCTTCTTTTAGTACAATATCATCCAAATGTGACTGCACATACATAATAAGCTATACCATCAGGAGGTGAAAACGTCAAGTTATGAAATAACAATGTCATGCTGGAAATAGTAAATTAGCATTGTCATGGCTAAGAGAAACAAAAGACTTGCCATATTTTTCTTTGACTCAGGAGAGGTGGTGGGGGATTTTAACCTAGCAAACAACTCCTGGATAAATGTGCTATCATCCTTCAATAAAGAAACAACCTAAAAAATAACAGAGCAGTCAAAACTAAAGATAATGCAATATATTCAAAGAAAAGTATTCTTTCCATACAATTCAAAATCTTACAATGGCATTGTTTGCATGTATGATGGAATTGAGATTTGCAACAGTAGCCTCATCCAATACTCTAGCCAAGATAACATCCTGAAAGCAGAAAAAGAAGGTAAGAATAAAATAAAAAAATAATAATAAAAAAAAGAAAAGAAAGGACAACAATAAAATGCGTCAAAGGACCAAACCTTTAAAAAACCAACTCTATATGTCTGATGTATTTTTGACAACACAATTGTATCTTTTATAGGTATAGCCTACAAAAGAAAATAGTTAAATCTACAAGTAAGATGTAAATTTCAATGCATATCTACAGAACTACCTACCACTTTGCTTCTCTTCCAAAATAGAATAAATAATCAGATCAAAAATTATACCTCCTTAAAAATAACATGCTCCTTCAAGAATTTACGATGATGATGAACATGAGGAACCTCTGGATCATCTGAAATAACATACGAGATTCAAGAAAACACATTTCACTTGGCTGAGAAAATTATGTAGAAAAACTTACACTCAAGGGCACCAATAATGTCCATCATAAATTCATCACTGAATATTCTCTCAAAAATTTGTGTACTATTGAGCATAACTGCAGCAGAACAAACATAGGTCAAAAATGAAGAAAGAAAGAAATGTCAATACAAGGATCCAAATCAAAATGACATAAAAATGATTACTGACTGATGCCTTTGACTATTTTGAAAATCATGTGAAGGCCATCCATATTTTCCAAGTCTTCACAAACTCTGAATACTTCCATGAGCTTTCGAAAAAAGTCTTGCTGCATTGAAAATATAAATGAAAAAGGAAAATTTAAATATACAAGGAGGAAAAAATTGAGTTTACAAAGATTCTAAAACACTCTAACATACAAAAACGATGTGGTACGTAAACTTACGAATAAAAAGAACAAAAAAAAAAGCACTAGATAGCCATTCTTATTTTGCAAACAATATAGGCATAATCATCAAGAATAAAACATAACACTCAACTCCATTACCATGCACGTTGATAACTTAATCAACAATCACATCAGGAAATATGCTTTTCTTCCAAAAAAAATCCTAAAACAAGCATACCTCAAATTTTATATTATACATGGTAAAAACTTCATCAAAATTTATCTTAAGATAACAAAAGTTAACAATTTGTGAAACAAATATCTAAAAATATAGCATGAATGAGAAAGTATACATGAATTAGACCATCTTATCCTTTTGATCTCGGATTCCTTACTTACATATGACTGTGAAAAGTTAACGAAAGGCCATCTAATGTCCTCAATTTCAAGACCATAGAATAAATATGTTTATATGTTTTGGGACCAGAAATTCCTAGGTCTATCCTACACAACAGTACAGAATGCTAAACTACACCAAGAACAAAGTTAAAGTTATTGAAATTGCTTATACAAAAAATTACCAATAAGGAACGGCTTGAGGATGATCTATAGCTATAATGATAGATCACCAAATCATGCAGAATGAAGGTCACCAATCTACTCTATAAAGACATCATAAGCATATATACTACTTCTGGATATGATTTCAGCTTACATCACTTAATATTAGTTCAGTAAGCCGCAACTGATCAACAATGCCACTCTCAACCAGAGTCTGTAAACACAAAAAAGAAGATGAATTTCATTGAAGCTTCGTAGATAAATGTAATATTTTTAAACAATAAAAAATGGTCATAATTAGATAGTACAGTACTGAAATTCAACTCATTTGCTTGAAGTAATACAACACTACCATAAATTTGGTGAGACTGTTTTCTCATCAGAAGAACAGAAGCAATGTCATAAAAACAACACATCATTGAAAAGTCTACACCAATTGTGTGTGTGCGTCTCATTGTTAAATTGTGTTAATTGGTAAATGATAAGTCCACATGAATAATTCATACGTATAAATATTGTTGTACAACAAAATCCATTGATCAATATCATATAGGAAATAAAATGCTTAATAATTATTACAAATTACATATTCAATCTATATTTCTTTGTTTATGAACGTTTATTAACTTCAAGTATTCAAACATTTGACTCATTGGGCTGCTTATGATCTCTGATTTGGCTTACTGATCTGGATGTACAGCTAATGATGATACGCATTGGACTTTATGTTGAAAATTCAGCAAGAGTTAGGTAGGGCATGCCTCAAAAGAATCTACCCACGCCTCAGTGATGGTATGATAGGTTGAGACTTGCGAGGTTGAATTTTCACTTGAACAAGTCATAAGGAACACCATAAATGCAAAAAGATAAGTAGCAAATCTAGTTATACAGCAGATTTATCAAAGATTTTTTAACTAAAGTAGTAGCTATATTGTTCTTTCATGACCAAAAGGTCATATGAGTTCGAATCCAGGAAACAGCGGCTTTTTGACCCTTATAACCTTTTATTAATAATTAATTACCAAATTGACCTTCATTCTAAACTATTTCAAAAATTTAACCCCCTCCAAAAACATAACACCAATCTGCCCCTGTTTAACCGTTGACCACCAAGCCTACCCGGGTACACCCCTCCCTACCCGGGTATTTTTTGAAATTTTTTGCCTACCCGGGTAAGGAGGGGTGTACCCGGGTATTTTTCTTGGCACCTGAGAAATTGTTTGAATTATTTACCCGGGTAGGGAGGGGTGTACCCGGGTAAATAATTGAAATACCGGACTGTTGTTCTTAAAGGAGTAGACATCTCCAGTAAGCTTAGTATACAGAATTAAGGAATCTCATATAGGAGTATGAATTCTTGATCACTTATACCCACATAGGAAACTCGTCTTTAGTAAAACACCAAGGATTGTTGATCTGAATGAACATTACCAATATATCATTTCTCTAGCATAAGAACGAAACTTTGATATACAGATCAACTATGAGAAAAATAATGGATCTTTCTGTCTATGTTCATTGAAGGTATTATTGACATTTAATAAGCCAAAGAGAAACTTATTTCAAAAGTTCGCCAACTTTTAATGTTTTGTCTAGGACAGGAAGACTTTCTGATGTCTATTTGAAGTAAAACCTCGAGCCTATTATGCATCTTTTCCTTTTCTTTGCAAGGTAGAGGGGATATGTTTTTATGAGTGTATGAGATAAAACCACTTGTGGATCTCCACCTAAATACTTAAACAGTTAGGATGACTGGTTCCTTGACAAGGTAACAAAGCCTTGATCACTTTGTGATAAAGGGTTCAATGCTTGGTTCCTCCATTCTAATCATTAAGACTGAATTTCACTATTTAAGGTTTCAGCACAAGTTATTGACAGCTTCTATTTTATCCACCCTTCAAGCCATTAGGGTTTTCATGTGAGGGGCGTGAGAGCTAAAGAATAAAAATCATTGTTGAACCTCAACTCAACAAGTTCAGCTTTTAGAATGACTGAAATAGTAAACATTATTAGGATAGAAAGTCATTCAAAATTCCTAAACGAAGAAGAACAACAGTCCAGTCCATATTTCAATTATTTACCCGGGTACACCCCTCCCTACCCGGGTAAATAATTCAAACAATTTCTCAGGTGCCAAGAAAAATACCCGGGTACACACCTCCCTACCCGGGTAGGCAAAAATTTCAAAAAATACCCGGGTAAGGAGGGGTGTACCCGGGTAGGCTTGGTGGTCAACGGTCAAACAGGGGCAGATTGGTGTTATGTTTTTGGACGGGGTTAAATTTTTGAAATAGTTTAAAATGAAGGTCAATTTGATAATTAATTATTAATAAAAGGTTATAAGGGTCAAAAAGCCAGGAAACAGCCTCTTTGCAATTATACAAGGATAAGGCTGCGTACAAGGATTACCTCCACCCCACACTCGCTAGTCGGGTTTAACGGGGAGTGATTTTTTTAGTAGCTATATTGCTGTGGTAATTGCTTAAAATTAATAATAACAGCAAAAGCAAATTTGTTTGAAAAAGTAAATTAACTAATCAAGAATTTCAATGGATGGATTGCAATTAAAGAAACTAAGAAAGTAAATCAATTGAAACAAGTATTTCCAAACTTCATTCAGAATTGTGTTTCGGAAGGCTAAAAGTAAAAAGCTACAATAGAAACAGTTGATTTGCATAAAATTAGATTCCAAATAAAGAGAAAAAATAAAAAAACATGTGATGAAATTGTAAAACAATAAAAAGATAAATGAGGGGCGATTAAGGCGTATGCTGAAACCTTAAGAATCAAAGGAAGGGTCGACAACTCAACTGAAGGCAGCTCCCTTAACTCACTGTTTACACTGTGAAATGCCTCACCTGAAATATACAGCAAAAAAGGGTAAGACTAAGTCTGTAAAGCAGCAAACAAGATAATTCTGCAAATAAAGTCAAAGAAATGTTCAACAAAAGCATTCTAAAATCATAGCCCTTATCTATCAGCCTTCCATCAGACATACTTACGTATTCAAAAAGCCTTAAATTTTCAAAGGTAAAGCAACTTTTTCTGAGACACTGATTATATTTCACAAATTCAACAATCATCCTTTTGCACTTTAACCAATTTCCCTCCTTTTTACTACCTTGTAAGTCCAAATCCAATACAGCATTTTGACAGTTAATACAGTAACACAAAGACATCAGTTAAATTACTTCAAACAGACATGTCTAAGGCATTACTATCAAGAAAGCCGGGTAATATACTTGCAATGCAATCAAGACCACAAAATAATGGTTGGATGAACTCCCAGGTCTAGGACCTATATAATCATATCATAGCTATTATAGAAAAGAGGAGCAATTGATTTACTCTAGTCCAAGAAGGAATTCTCTGTATAGCACTGCATTAGCATTGAAATGGTAAAGTTAAAAGCAGTAACTGTTAAAGATAACATTAATAATCAGTAAATCAGACAGAATATAAATAATTCCCGAAAACATTAATATATTATTTTTGTAGCAAAAAACCAAATCCTAAAAATTATTTTTCACTAATGATCAGGTAAACATTAAAATAATAAAAACATAAAAAAAAAATCCTTATTTCGGAGAAAACACATGCAAACAACCTTCAGATAGAGAGGGAATAATGACATTCAAATTTTACATTACTTACTATTTAAAGTATTAAAATGCATATTCCTTTGCACACTGCAAATATGGTCCCTGAATAAAAAAAGCATACGAATTAAGATCAATTCCACAGCAATAAGAACAAAAACCAGAGAAAGATGTGAAATAATTAAAATTTAGAAGTTATTTGCTACCATATGTAAGAGCATCCACCACTCTCTTGAAAGCTAAGTGCCAGTTCTGTAGCATATTCTGGATCTCTCCATGAAATAATTGTATCTGAAGGACAAAATGACATCTTCCATCAAATTAACAAATAAAATGACCCTCATATATTCAAAGCATAAATGGATGACCACTAGACATTATTGAGAAAGAGAGATCATAAAATACTATCAATTACCTTCTTGTTTCCTATAAATATCATCAGAAGTGAGGCGATGCAAAAGTATGGTCTCATTGTCGTCTTCATCATAAACAAATAAACCCAGCCCTTCTGATCGCTGCATTATGAGATATTGTGATTTTTCATTCATTGTAAATGCAGGAAACTCAACATTTCAACATCAACAACACATTTCTCCCAAACTAGTTGCGGTCGGTAGCCATGGAAACTCCACATTTATCCAATTAAAAAAATGAAAATCCAACTCTAAATACCTATGTACTTGAATACAGTGATCAAGACCAATAGACCACCTATTTCTTTCAAATACTATAGTCATGTTAAGTTGTTTACTCTAAATCAGACATTTTTCCGTAGAGGAGGGGAGAACATGTAACGGTAATCAGACATTGGAAAAATCAGAGCTCATAAGCATCATCAATCCTTAAGGAGATTACATCTTATAAATTAAAATAATTCAAAATGCAAAGGTAAAAGCAATCAAGCATACATATAAGCAGAATTAAGGGGAAGTCATGCATGCACTGCCCCTGGACCCGTGTGCACACACATGTATTAGGCATATTAGTCACAAATACAAGTTTTATCAAAACAGTGTACAAACCTCCAAATAATTAACAGTAACGTGCCCAGTACCCTGGTCATCCCATTTCCCATCATCATTCAGACGGTAGACCTTGACACGCTGAAATCCAATAAGAAGAAAGACTAAGTAATAAGTCATATAGTCAGCTCAACCACTCAAGATATCAATATTAAAAAATGGCTGTTAAGAATACATTCCCTGAACCATTCCCAAATGTATAAATTGTTTTACATCATAATTCAATAAGCTTAGGTAGCCCAACTGCTCACTGTTGTGAAAATAGTGATTTCAAACACTGAAATCCAGCATAAAGCGCATTTATTCAGAGGCAAACATTGCTTTTCTTTTCCTTTTTCATTGTATGATATTTAAGAGGGACATGCGGAAGCAGTGTAAAGCAAGTAGCATCACCAAGCAAGACCAAAACAGCAAAACGGTTTCAATGAACCAAATGAAATGACAATCCCCTTTGTTTTCAATTTCTCTTACATTGATTATGCTTAGTAGGAGAAATATGATAAGAATACAAGGGTGAGAAAGAAATAGAAATTGAAACTACACAGTAAGGTAAGAAGTTTCTTTCCAGGATGTTAAAAATTAATAAACATGAACGAATGAAAATCAGGATCATCATTTTCAAATAAATCTTCAATACTAAGTTATTCAATCCCCTTTGTCCTTCAGACCTGGTAAACAAGTAAATAAGATTTCAGCTCCCTACTGGAAGAAAAAACATCTTTCAAATTACTTTTTCAAAAAGTTTATATGATAGATTCTCAAGCTAAGCTAAAAACAGCTAATCAGCCAAATTTGGCTACCTTTTAAAAGCAGGCCCTAACCATAAAAAGGAATTTTCACACCAAAAATAAATGTTAGAGAATACTATAAACCATTAAAAAGCCATCACCCACAAACTTAAGCTTTTGGGTTGAATTGGTTCTTTACATAGTATCAAAGTCTCATTTCACGGTTCGATCCTTACCGCCCCCATTTAATTAATAATTAATTCAGTATTGTGGAGTTTCTTCAAGCCCAATGGACTCTCATGTGAGGAGGTATGTTAGAGTTATATAAAACCATTAATGTAGTCTCACCCAAAAGTTTAAGTTTGTGGGTGAGGACTTTTTAATGGTTTATACTATTCTCTAACACGCCCCCTCACAAGAGAGCCCTTTGGACTTGAAAGGTGGATGATGCATCAGGCCCAGCCTACCTGTGCTAAGAAATTCCACACACAAAATTGGGGGCTGCGAGGATCGAACGAGACACGAGGATCTGATACCATGTAAAGAACCAATTCAACCCAAAACCTTAAGGTGTTGGGTGAGGGCCTTTTTAATGGTTTATATAACACATCCCCTCACGCAAGAGCTCTTTAGGCTTGAAGCGTAGATATTGCACAGACCCAATTTTTAATTTACCTTGTACTTATTCAATTCCACTAGAAAATAGGGGGAGATGAGGATCGAACTCGTGACATTGTGGTTACTGAAGCTCTGATACCATGTAAAAAACCATGATATCAGAGTCTCGTGTCCCAGATTCGATCCTCACCCCCCCCCCGGCACTTTTTTTGTGAAATACCTTAGCACAAGTAGGTGAGTCTGTGCATTATCCACCCTTCATGCCCAGTGAACTCTCGTATGAGGGGCCGTATTAGAGATATATATAATCATTAATGTAGCCTCACCCAACAGCTTAAGTTGTTAAGTAAAGACCTCTTTAATGGTTTTATATTATACTACAATAAAAAGGTTATTGAAATGGAACCAAAATCTGCACCTGTCTCACCACAGAATATCAAGAGATAGGATTATTATTTTCAAATATCTATCAGAAAAATTTTACTGCGTAATCTTAAGACCCAAGATGCTTTATTGGTACTGAATGTTGGATTGTAAGAGGCCAAGAAGAGCATAAGTTGAATGTTTAGAGATTAGGAATGTTGCGTTGGCTGAGCTGAGAAACAAGACGAGATTAGAGAATGAATGAATGCATTATAGAAAAAGTAGGGGTAACACCTAGTGAGGAAAAGATGATAAAATCTAGCCTAAGATGATTTGGCCAAGTGAGAAGAAGACCAGTAGAAGCTCCAACAAGGAAGACCAAGAAAAACTTTAAACCATTAAAAAAGGCTTAGATCTAAATGGTCCTTCTGAAGACTTAACATAACACATTGGCATCGTTTGATCCACGTAGATGTAGCCAGCTTCACGTGGTGGGAAAAGATCTGTTATTACTGTTTTACAAGTTAGGTGGGAGGTCTATTGGAGGGCAACTAACGAAACAGATTTTTATTCAATATTCTCCAAGAGCTGAAATTGAACAGGTAAGGTAAGATATAAGTGATTTAGTCAAAGTATAACCAAACAAAATTGATAAGCTTCGTGAAATACCACCACCTAAAAATCATATTCACTCCAAGTGGCTGCTTATGATGACTCATACAATATTCATCATAGGAAAAATCGAAAAGAGAACACTATGTTCCAAATAAGTCACTTCAGTACAACTTGGTTTCTGTGCTAAAATGGACAACAATATTAAATCTACTTGTTTTTCTTCTCTAACGTTGTAGGGCTTAGGGCTGTGATGGATAGACTAAACAATAATAATAACACCAAATTTATATTACTGAAATATTTGTGCAAAAAATTGTTTAATTAGTATATGGTTAGGAAATTCTGATAATTGATTAAGATGTTTATTAAATACTTAAAACTAATAACCGACTGACCAGTTTACAAGAAATGTTAAGAGACATAAGCAACAACCCAATAAAACCAGAAACTATAAAAATTTGATATGGAATAAACATCAACAATACCTTAATCACAAACTAAACTGGAAGTCGGTAGTTGATGACCCCAAAAAAGAAGCAAGAAAAGATTGAAGAAAAAAAAGTAAAATAAAATAATAATGATAATAATAATAATAATAATAGTAAATAAAAATGAAATAAAATGAAAAGTGAGAGCGAACAATAAAAAGAGAAAAAATAACAGAACACGAGAATCATCGACATCAACATCAACAACACCTTTATCCCAAATTAATTAGGGTCGGTGGTAGATGAACTCACATGAAAGATACAAAACGGTTGAAAAAAAGTTAAAAAAAAAATAAAAAATAAAAAATAAATAAATAAATAAATAAATAAATAAAAATAAACAAATAAAATAAAAATATAAAATAAGATAAAATAAAATAACAATATATGTATATATAAATAAATAAAAGTAAAAAAGAAAGGGACAAGAAGAAGTGGGGGAAATGAAGGGGAAAAGGACTAAAAAGGGACCATCTGGAACATAGGAATAACAGAACACGAGAATAAGAGAAAAAAATGTAAATAAGAGATAAAATAAATAAATATAGGGAACAAGGACTAAAATGGTCTACCCCTCCACACGGCTAAAAGCTTTCCTCCACTACATCCGCATATGAAATATGCAGTTTTTTTTTAAAATAAAATTAAAAGGCTCTTCCTTACAACTAGAGAAAAAATTGACAAAGCTGAGAGTGCACTAGTACAGATGCCAATCCCAACATGGTATATCTTTATATTAAAATTCATATTACTCCACATTATTACAAGCAAAAAAGTCTAATTTGATTCCCAAAATGAAAGAAAGAGGGAGGAAATGCAGCACAAGCTGCATACAGAATAAAAAAATGCCAAGAAATTAGACAGTAAATTAATAATCCACACTCTTTTGTGCGTATAAATAATGATTGATATAACTGAAAAACTAAAGAACGGAAGTGCATGTTACTCAAAAGGAAGAGACCAGGTTCATTTTTAGTGAGCGCTTAGAGTAACTACATAAGACGACTTATAACTAGTGCACTGCCAAGTGACATAGCAGCAACAATTCCAAATTATACGGTAGCATCTCACCAATAACGTAAAAATTTCAAAAATAAAATAAGGAATTACTAGGATATATACAATGCTTCTCATCTATGTTGCACCAACACTTCAAAAAACCTGAAATGTCGTGTCTGACACTCTCTAACACCCCGACACTCTGATACATTCCGACATCTATAATATTTGGAATTTCATTACATATCATGAAAAAATTGATCGGTTTTACCAAACTGATATAATAACTGATATAATAAAAATTAAAAACGAATACCGAATAAATCTCACTGCAGTGTATAAGAGATTTTCATTTTCAAGATATAATAGTAAATATTTACATCTTATGTTTCTTTACAAAATTGATGAGTATTATAAGTTTAATTTCATTTTTTGTTATATTATTGAATATTAAATATAATATACACAACATAAATTAAAAATATTATTTGATATCAAAATGTGTCTTAACGTGTCGAAATCTAACATTCTTTAGAATTAAAGCGTCGTTGTGTCGTGTCGTGTCCCGTGTCGGTGCAATATAGCTTCTCATTTTGTTTCCCTTATGCACTAGTTTTGTTCTATCGTAGTGACAGAAATGTCCAGCCAGTGGCAGGTATGTTTATATACGATCTAGATGCCCCCAATGTTCTGTTGTAGTGACAGAAATGTCCAGCCTACGGCTGGTATGTTTATATAGGATCTAGATGCCCTCACTCAGGTACCTATAGGGAAGGTACTTTAGAGAATACCGAATCACTTTGCACTTAACAGTATAGCCAAAGGGTGGGGTGTGTGCACAACGACAGCTAAAAGAGAAAGAGTTTAGAGTGTGTGTACTATGTACCTTATTGGCTTAACCCTTTATTTTCTAAATGGATTACATGGTAGTAGTGAAATTATGGGCCTCTTAGGAATATTAGGAGTCCAGTTCATGATCCATAGCTGCCGTAGTAGGATTAGTATAATTAAGAAATCTTTCCTTAATTCTCTCTTAGCCATTAGCCCTTTTTGGGCCTTCTAAAATATGAGTCTCTATGTCAGGTTCATAACAGTTGCCCCCCAACCCGGTAGTCTGGTTGTCCTTGCTGCCGGGGTGTATATTTGTCACGCTTTAGTTTTATCCGACAGATATAGTTGGGTTGTTGTGCCCACTTATTGTTGCGTTCACTATTATATATATTGATATCTATAGGTCGGCCATGTTCTTGGTCCGAGCCTTTTTAGCCTTTAATCTGTGGAGTATGGCTTCAGCCATCTTGTTGTGTTGAATTCTTACCTCGGACGTCCTCCTTGGCTTCCCTACCCGGTAACTTGGGTCCGAAATGAAGCATGTTGAATTATAAACTTGTTGGTCAAACTTTCGATACCGAGGTCACTATTAGAAGTGGGAGAATTTTCCCTTTGACCTCTTTGCCGGGGTCTTATCTTGACCTTTCTAAGCTATGATGTTTTAGCAAGAATCTATGGATACTTAATATGCTGCTTCAGTATTACTCCCTCGACCTGTTTCGTTGAGGTCCAACTCGGGAGTGGCTGATCTTACTCTTTGACTGCCTTGCCGAGATATCAATTTTGTCGCCTTTCATCATTCTATTTTGATGGTTGCATTCCTACACTTGCCCTCCAGTCCGGCAATTTGGAAGTTTGGGCTGTCGGGCTGTAATGTTTTTGTACTTCGGTTATGCCCGCATCCTTTTTGTTTGAAGACTTTATTTATTCATTTCTGTGTATCTCTCCACTACCTTGTTTGGGCTAAACGGGGTATTGGCCTTCCAGCCTTTTTCCTTAATCCGAGTTCTGAATCGGTCTACGTCCAAAATTTTGGACAAGTAGCTATGTGTCAAAATGCCAACTTTATTTTGTGCTTTTTTTTGCTGACTTAAGGACCTCTGAGAGTCTTTTGAATTTGGAACAACTATTCCCAATTTTATTCCCGATCTTGTAATTTTTTGACTTGCATGGTTCTTGACTTGGTAATCGTAGCTCTCTATTCAATTTAAGTCCGGTTTCGCATACCAAACTCTTTTGAGTTGGCCGAATTCATACTTTGATGGCGTCTTGCACCTTGCTTAAAATGAGCTTGGATACCATGGTATTAAGTCTTTATCTTATTGTTGACTTGGCTTTGGCCTAAGTCTTAACGTTGCGAACGCGTCCAATGTCTTGTGTATATCTAGCCCGATTTATCATAGCATGACTTTGATTATTTTTCAGTTTGCTTTTTCGCCTAAGTTTTAATGTTCCGAAGGCGTTTCTAGCCTTCGCTCTATTTAGCCCAGATTCTCTTTTCTGTGGCTTCTATTTCAACCTAGCCAAGATTATGCTATTTGTATGCGTGGATTCCGCAATTCTATTTTAGCACGGCTTTGAATACCATGCTCTAAACTATTTTAATGCGGCGTCATGTTTACGAAGGTGTCTATTTGTTCCTTCGTTTTATTTTAGCCCGGCTTTGCCCGCCATGGCTTTATAAATTTCGGACTTGGTTTTGCCATAATTTCGCAGTGATATTGCCTTCTATTTTAGCCTTAATTTACATGCCGCGACTTTCACATATTTCGACTTGATCAGAGTCATTTTGAGGAAAATCACTTCTTCGAATCCAGCTCACCTTGCCATGATGCACTAGTATCTGAGCCCCCGCTTCTTTCGCAATGGCTTTATTATATGAGCTCGGCTTCACATACCGTGGCTTTTGAATTTGAGCCTCGCTTCTTTTGCGGTGGCTTTCATATTTAGGCTCTGCTTCTTTTGCAGTGGCTTTATCAAGTTGACTTGCAAGTCTTAAGTGTATGAAGGTGATTTTTTCCCTTCTATTTTCTAGCCCGGCTTCGTATACCGTGGCTTTATAATATTTAACTCGGCTTTTTGCCAGAGTTTCAATTTCTAATCTGTCATAATGACTTGATTAGAGTTGTTTCAATCTGTCCTTTAAATTTTAGCTCGGTTTGGTTTATCGTAGCTTACATATGTCGACTTGGTTAAAGTCGTTTTGGATCACGGAAGGGTCCTTCCGTTTTCTCTGAACCTGGCTTGATGCCCTAGTGCATGCACTGCGCTTTTCCTCGAACCTGGCTTCGTACGTAGGTTTGCGCAACACTGGATTTCTGTTTAGACTTTGCTTATTTCATCGTATAGTATCTTTGATGCCCCCAATGTTCTATCGTAGAGACAGAAATGTCCAACTGGTGGCTGATATATTTATATAGGATCTAGATGCCCTTTATCAGGTACCTTAGAGAATAGTGGATCGCTATGCACTATAATACTAACGGCATAGCCAAAGGATGGGGTGTATGCACAGCGTCAGCTAAAAGAGAGAGGATTTAGAGTGTGTGTACCTTATTGGCTTAACCCTTTACTTATAAGTTATAAATGAGTTACCTGGCAATAGTGAAATTCTGGGCCTCTTAGGAATGTTAGGGGTTCAGTTCATGATTCATAGTTGTTATAGTAGGATTAGTATAATTAAGGAATCTTTCCTTAATTCCCTCTTAGTCGTTAGCCCTTTTTGGGCCTTCTAGAATACGAGCCTCTATGTCAGGTCCATAATAAGTTTATTGCAAGCCCGCTCGCGCTAGATTACTTCCTAATCTTTTAGTCAGTTAGATCAGACGGTTACAGTGGTTATAACCTCTAGTTAGTTCTCTGACTCAGCTGTGTCAGACTTAGCTCTATAAATAGAACTTGTTGTATCAGATTCTGTAATACTACCATTTCACAATCAAAGATGCTAGATTCCCTGAACTCTTTTGCTCTCACTTTCTCATATTTTCTCTCCCTTTCTCTTATTTTCTAGCTGATTTCCTTTAGGAATGTATCCAACTAGTAACCAAAATCCATGGATGTGACATTAAGAAAATCACTCAAGCTAAAACAAATATGAGCTTATCCAAATTTATCCTATCATCTAAAACCATACAATTCCAAGCTAATAGATTCTTGTCTCATAACCAAAACGTAAAGAAGCATGCGCACAACTCCCTTAACCTCTAATTGGACAAAAAAGTACGAAGATAACAGCTGAATCTTCACCTTTCAGTTCAATTTTTAAAAGGATTTCATTGTGATAGGCTTTCAGTGTATAACCCCATAACATTATCAGTTGGACTTTGCTAACAAGTGCCCTAAGGTCACTGGTTAAAGAACATTTAATATAGGGCATTAAATGTTGCTAATTATTTAAAGAAAGTGAAAAAAAAAAAAAGGCAACCTGACGGAAGGTTTGAGCCATTGCGTGGGTCTATAGTAGGTAGTCTTAAAATGCATTTGGAAGAGGCTGATTACTTGAATCTGTGACCTCGAGGACAAATAGTGTCAACACCAATGGTTATCCAAGGTTCCCTTCTAAAGAAGTAATAAATAGTTTTTGTGTTCCGAACGCAATTACGCTTTACTTTTCACATATTACGTTTCCTTTTTTACTTCACTTATTCCGAATCATTAAAAAAGTTTGAATAACACAACCGCTTAAGAAATCTAACTCTTTTAATACTCACCGGATGATAGTGTCAAAAACTTCAAAATTTAATCTCTATTTTTAAAAAAATTAAAAAAAAAATCCAGTGGAAGTAATATTATTTATTACAACAACAAAATACAACATAAAATACGTGTCCAAGCAAGTGCACCATCCTCTACAACTCCCCTTATTTGCCTCTCATGTTTCTAAAAATACCAAATAAGGAACGGATTGCACAAAACATAACAAGAACCGAGTGCTTGCTAAGGAATCACGGTCCAAATGAATTTACAAGCGGTAACACTTAGCCATACCAAATGCCTCCAGCTTCATCGCCAATTCACCAATAAATCAAACCGAAGCTCGAACTCAAAACACATCGAATAGCAACAAACAAACAAACAAAAATTGACTAGAATCTACGACATAGCCGAAAGTTTTCAATTACAGAAAAAGCATACTTGCCTGCATCGAATTAGCGTTGGACTGCGATTTCTCCGGCGCGCCCATCACAGCAACTCAAAATCTCAAAGCAAAAACAAAGCAGTGATACTGAATTTTGATGGGCTTCAACTTAGGGTTTTGAGGGCAAGGAGAATAAGAGAGGAGAAAACAATTGCTGCAAGGGAATCAAGCTTCAGGGAATCAACAGAAAACCCTAACCGCCATTGACGACGTAGCATCGCGAACTTTCGACTCTCTCTCTCTCTCTTCTTTCTCTCTCCTTTTTAATATTCTCCGCGCAAGAGTGTGTCCCCGCCCTTCGATTAAGCAAAAGGAGAAGTGAAAAACAATCACGCATGTGTGGAATACCGGGAATACCACTGGGTTTCCGCTGAAATTACGATTGCACCACGCAAGTTTGGTGTGACGTATAAGACATGATAGTATACGTTTATATTATATGTTATGATATTTTCAGTCATTTGTTGTGACTATCATATAGTATAAGCTTATACAGTATAATCTCTTAATACATCAAAATGATGTATAATTTAATCCGACCTCAGGGTGAGGGATAAAGCCTGATAAGAGATTGATGTATTAACATTATTGATCAATGTAATTCTCAAAAATTAATATATTATTTTAATATTAATCTATTAAAATAAAAAATTAAATTTTCAATATATTAATTTTTAAAATATTGAATATTTTTATTTTTATAAAAATTAAATTTATATTTTGGACACACTGATCAATAAATTTTTATAAAAATTAATATCATATGACATTTTTTAAAGAATTATTAAAATTCTTTATTAAAAGATATTTTTATTAAAAATATTTATTTTTATCATATATAGTATTATACAGTGCATTACCAAATACTAGATGATATTATCTTATACAATATATTATTTTAAACAATATCGTGCCAAACGTTATATTATCAGGTCTTATATTATCAGACCTTATCCTATACTATCAAACATATGCTGTATAAGCTTATACTATACGATGGTCACACTAAACAACTGAAAATGTCATAACGTATAGTATAAGCTTATACTATCATGCCTTATATGTCACACCAAACAGGCCCTAAGCTTAGAAACTGACATATAATGTGAATTTGCTTAACTATTTAGTAAATCCTATATAGAATTATGTTATTTTAACTAAGAGAAAGATATAAATAATAAAAGTTATGGGAGAAAAAATAGATTTTTTTAATTTAAATTTAAAATAAAAATATTAGGATGTGTGTTTTTCTATCTTAAAATGATACAATTATATGTCGTTTAAAAGAATAAATATTTTTCCTTAAAAAAATATAGCTTTTTTTTCTTAAATTTAAGTTTAGAATTTAGCTTATGCATATGATATATTTTTTAGAATGTTGTAAAATATTCATGCGAACGACTCTTTGATTTCTCGTGGCCTTTGATGTACCTTGTAACCACTATACTAATTATGAGTGAATGTGTAACTCATGACTCTTGATGTACCTTGTAACCACCACATTAATGGTGACTTTGAGTGTAATTATTCCCTATTCATGTTTAGAGTCTTATAAAATGACATGACTTCTATCGAAAATGTGTGGATGAACAAGAATAAGAATTTTACCTGTCTTTTTATATTCTTAGTCTTCATGTCTCTACCTCATCTCTCATTTTAGTTTCATAATATGTTATCAGCATAATAGTATCTATTATCCAAGAGACCATTGCACCAATGGACACTCACGAGATTTAACCTAAAAAATGAAATAATTCACAGTCAACAAAGGACAATTCCCTAACGTCTGGAAGGTTTCTCTCATGGCATACCAGAGTCTCGAACATGAATCAGGGTCTTATCCGAAGACCCAAACCCGAATGTACTATGGTTAACCAAAACGCAGCTACTCTATCACATGAACCACACCCAAAAATGCCACCTGAAGGAGAAGCAGATGCCACCACCTGGTGAAGAAGAGCACAATGAGGAGTCTTTTCAAGAAAGTAAGCCAAAAGTTAAGATGGAGAAGCCCAGTAGCACAGGAAAGCATGTAAAAGTCAAGTTCAAAGTTCCTGAGACTACTTTACCTCATCCATATATAGAAGAGCAATATAGAAGGATACAATTATTGAATGAAAGGGTTTGGTCATCACTAAGCTCACGCTTTGAGCCACCATGATACAAGTCAGGTACGTCAGGCTCGTGACGTTAAACAAGTGCTAGAGGAAGCAACCCATCATTTTACTGTTTTTAATTTTTCTGTTTTAGTTATTTCACTTTTAGTTAAATAAAGAAAAATACAAAAAGATTAGAGGATGAGATAATGATTTGATAAAGTGCATGTTTAATTCTGAAGCTATTAATATGACAAAAAATGCAGGAGAACGACTAGTTTGTTTTCCTTATTTCTCGCTGCGATTTTCTTTTTAGATTTAGATTAGTTGCTGAGGACAGCAACATTTAAATATGGGAATGGGTAACGCGCGATTCATCAGGAACTACTTTACTTGGTTAGAAGGATTTCATGGTTATACACAGAATATACGGCTAAAACAGGGAACTATCTCAACCTTTTTCTTTCTTTTTTAGCGTAATGTCTTTTAAATTTGAATTTTATTTTATGTTTTTAGTTTAGTTAGAGTTTTGAAAAAACCCCAAATCCATTGTTTTTGTGAAAATTTTAAAAAAATTCTTATTTAGTGTAAATAAATGGATGATTGGCAGGGAATTTGATCAGTGATTTGATCAAGAGTATAATGATGCACTTGCATAATTTTATTTTATTTTTGATAATGTGCATTGATTTTAAGTAATTTTCATGATTCATTTGATCTTTAGAAAAGTAATGAGACTGATTTGGATGAAGATTAGGAAGTTAATTGTACACCCATAGCCATGAGATTTTGAACCTATACAGAAATAATTTTCAGTGTGCACTTCGTTGTATAAGATACTCTAGAACTTGCTTTATTTCTTGCTTAAGATGGTCCATAATTTATATTGTTGAGATGATAGAAGCATGTTTTTTCTTTTAACTAGATGGTCAAATAGCAAACCCTTATGTATGTTATATACATTTGTTTGAGCCCCTTTAAACCTAGGCCTATTTATTCTTTGAAAACCTATATGTGAATAGACACTTCCCATACACATCACTTCCTTAATTTAGATTGAATTTCAAATTTGAATTAAGGAATTGATATTAATTGTTATATTTTAAATGTTGTTACATAGGAAAATACAGGTGAAAAATGGCAAAAGCCAAGGACAATAGGTTGGTTAGAAAGAAAAAGAAAAAGGAAAGGAGTGAGAATACTTGAGAAGGGAAAAGAAGATCAAATGCAAAAGAAAAATTTAAAAAGAAAGAGAAATCTTTCAAAGAAAAAGAAAAATGCCTTGAAAAAGAGAAAAAAGAAATAATGAAAAGTGTAAATGAGTAAGAGTGGAAGAAGAATAATAATTGTTTGCAATTTTGTTAAATAATTTTGTTTATTTATTTTCAAATTTGATTTTTAATCTTTAATCCACTTCTCCATTTGTTTCCTTCCTTTTAGCCAAGCCAAGTTACAACCCTAATAAAGACATCTTGATCTACTTTATATTTCATAAGAACTGTGGAGAGCGAGAATGTGAGCAAGCTTATGGTAGTGATGATTCAGTGAAAGACGAGTGAAACACAAATCCTCAAACATTTGAGTGCGAGTGAATTGAAAATCCTAGTGAGAGGGTGTTTCGGTTAAAATTTCTCTGTTCTTTATCTTGAGAAGTAATGTTCCTATTCTTTATCTAATGAAGTCTTGTTACAATTATATGATTGATGAATTGTGAATCTTGCTTGAATTGATATATTATTTTATTTCAAGACCAAGTCTGAATACTCTTTTGACCTTACTGCCAGTTGATTTTTCCTGTTGAAAATTTATTCACTTGAAGATTCCTACTCCCATTCCCTTAAGGGCTGTTTGGTATGGGGGCAAAAAAATTGGCCAGAAAAATAGGACAGGAAAAATAATAGGCTATGTTTGGTAGGGGGATTAGGAAAAAGATATCTAGGAAAAAATGGTCACCGTCTTTTCACTTTGTACATGAATTGGTTGCAAAACTTTGCTATTGTAAGGGTGGTTTCCTTATTTTCCCTGTCGGTGGCAAATCTTTGACCAAAACCCATGACAAAATTATCCTGCAAAAGTAGATTTATCAAATCTCAGTTGGTGAGCCATTGTGTAGGTGTGAAAAAAAGTTTGTGGCGTGATCCAGCTTCGAAGCTCAGAAACGGTATGCTCATCGTCGGCTACAAACGATGAATAAGGTGAAAAAGATGGTTCAAAAGGGGAGTAAACCATCATTAATAGGAGGGACAAGTAAGCCAAATATTGTTCTCAAATCATTTTGTATTTCCTGTAACATTTCAATTCAAGAGTTAGACAAACGATCTATATTACTCCTGCTGCCAAATCTGACGTCTCGGTTGGACCTCCAAGGCCATTGGCCATTATTCAAGTACCTGCACAAGGATTCAAAGCTGGAAATTGAACAACTCAATTTTTGTGATATAAACAAGTCAATACTAAGGTAACAGTTCTCCGGCAGCCGTAGTACCAAGTACACGATCTGGGTCTCCGTCCACAAACAAGCAAACAAACGGTCTTCGACAAAGAGAGAGAGAATGACGATGAATGTATAAAAAAAATACCAATTTCAATAATATTTAAATTCATGGATATTTTCGTAATTTCAGTAAATATTCTCATCATTCTTTTACAATCAACCAAACATACCTTAATAAAATCAACTCAAGTTTCCCTGCAAAATTTTGGCCTACCAAACAACTTTTTGTTACTTACCCAGTAACAAAAACTCCTCATCATTTTCTCATGTAATTTTTCTTCCCGGTAAAAAAAAATTTCTCTCATATCAAATGCCCTCTTAGTTTTATTCTTATTTATTTGTAACACCCTCAAATTTCTAACAATTTATAAAAATAATAATAATAATAATTTCAAATAACCAAATTTGGGGAATGCTACCGCCGCACTTGTACTATAGACAAGCGCAAGGCAAAAATTTATTACATAAAAAAAAAACTAAACACTAAGTTCAATGAAAGAAATATATCTTATATATTTATTGAAACTCATAAAAAAGTCTTTAAGCCCTAGAGCTAGCTAGAAATATCTGAGTTGTTATCCTCACTGCCCACTGTTAGCCCTATCTTTTGCAACCTGTATCATTGAAAATCTGCTCCCCCAAAGTATCATTGCAGCCAAACAAACACAAACACAAAAGTCAGCAAAACTGGT